TGTTAATATTATTGTGGCGTTGGCACAAAGCGTGTTCTCAAGCCGGTGTTAAATATATAGATATATCCCACCCTACGTCGTCTGTGCTCCAAGCATTGAATCTTTCAAACTGAGACTCGATGAGACATTAGCACACCGTACATTCCAACAAAAGTGAAGCTGCGTGCAGCCGTGGAAGAAGCACGTATCACGTGAGATTTTACACAAGGAATTGTATGTATCACTGTTTTTTTAACTACCACACGAACCTATGGGACGAGAAAAGCATGAGCTTCTAAGTTATTCCCATAATAAATTTTTAATCTTTAATTGGAATGCGTTTCTCAATATCGGAGCATGATGTATAGCGCAACAATAGTAATGAAAAGAGGAACGCTTTCGGTTACTGGACTCACGACCCACAGTTTGAGAACGATCAACCTAAGCACATACTGTTTGAAACGTGACCATGTGGTCGGTGAGAAAAGGAGAACCGTCACAGTTAGTTGTGAATGAATAAGCGGCTCGTATTTCGGAAAATTGGTGATCTCAAATATTTTTGTTTTGACTCGAAAACTCTTCAAAGATAGCATGCGCACTTGAGACTCGACTCTAGTCAAGACCGTAATTCCTTGCTTCGGCTGAGAGCGTTCTTAGTCACGGGCGCTTTAAAATCGCACATCACATTCCGTAGTGCAGAATCATTCACTCGGTCACTTTGCCGCTCGAAGTCGACTTAAGCCAAGTCCGAAAAGAATTGGAGATGACAGTTTATAGGCAGCTTTCATACCCAATTGTTTTTGAGGGTACAATTTTAATGTGAACAGTTATTTTAAATAACTCATAACCATGCCGTGCTAGTCACGATAAAACCCAGGTTTTTGGTAAGCTGACATTGGATTGTGTAGAATGGATCATTGCCTGTGCATGTCACGTTATCAGTTCTGTTTCTGGGAAGGAATTTTTGTCGGGACGTACGTGATTTAGGTCCTAGATATCAATGGTTCGGATTTTTACAAGTGCGAGCGCGCACGCCTCAGGGGCATTTTTCATGCCTGTGCCTGAATTAAACACCTCTGCGTCCACACAGATCCGGGGTTCAAATGGTTATTCAGATCAACTCGGCTTGACTACTGTGCGCATTTGGACCCGTTCAGGACGAGTATGTTAGATAACCTTCAATGCTTCAGTTGGGTTTACATAGTGGCCTTTGCCTACTAAATGAGCAACGCTCACTCAAAACCACTAACTGAAGTATTCCAGGTGGCCTGGCTTCGTATGGATAATGATTGTGCCATGCGCCCAAGGTAAAGAGCGTCCCAAATACAGCGTATTATATATATATATATATATATATATATATATATATATATATAATGCTAACAGAAGTTTGCGCCACATTGACGTTTCTAAGAATCGATAGAGTTACTACTCATGTATCCATATGAAAGCTCGCATCCGCCCATCAGTTTAGCAATAACTTCACTGCCAATATGAACTGTCTGCATGAGACCTGATGCTAATTGTTTAGTTACATCAGAATATTTTCAGACAGACTAACTGAGAACAACACTATCTAAATCACAGTTCAGGCAACCTGGAGTGCTATCTACCCGTACCACAATTGTGAGTGTCCGCCACATCGTAGTGTTGTGTTTCCAAAAGGCCATCACTGGCCTGAGGACAAGTGTTTATTGCGAACCACAGTTATGATATGGATAAATTGGCGCACATAAAGGAAGACGTCCTACTTGGAACATGTCACCGAAATTCCCAGCAACACACAAGATAATGAATGGAACAATCCGTATTTATCTTTCTGAGTACAGCAATTTACTCTATGAATTCTCATTCATTTTTGACCTTTGAAAGAAACCATCAATCACATTCCTTTGAGCAATCCAACCATACTACTCACAAATGCGAGTAGGACCTCACAACAGTGATACACGATAGAAGACAAGACCCACTTTGTTTTAGGGAAGACAGTTCACACTCGAAGCCTTTGGACTCGTTGTGGACAACCAATAAACCCCAAATAAGAGCCGTGATACTGTTTATTTGTTTTTATTACATACCTTAAATAGATGAACAGTAGAACGAGTGGACTCCCAAGTCATGATGTTCTCTTGTCGCAACCCGCGACTTAAGCCGTGGGATTTGAAATAGTCACATATTGAACCCCAATGGGATAGACGTGGTGTTGAGACGGACAATCGTGAAACTGCTTACCAGCAAACTTAGGTGGCAGTGACGGCGTTCAAACCTGGGGGCCCGTAACAAGTCGTTTATGGTGGCTAGAACAGCATATTCATTACCGCGTATAGTTACTCTATGCATCCATACAAGCCAATGAGCAGAGAGTCCCCTGAGACAGAAAACATTTAAATTCAATGAGGTGAGCCCCAATAGACCCTCAGCGTCCATATTTTCATATCATTAACCTGAAGGGCGAAGTTTAGGTAGCTGATTTGGATTCGATCACAACTCTGACAATAAACATGCCGAACCAGTGCGCGTTTCTATGGCTACAACACGTTGACGACTAGGCTGTACTTTATGTAAAGTCTGATCCTCTTCAAAATCTATCCCTAACCCTGAAACCGGTTCCGTAAGTCACGTGAGAGTCAAAATAATCGGAATCCTATCGTAATCAGATAGGGTTGGTTTTTGACTGAATCATTAGATCAGTTAACAAGTGAGTTGTCTTCTAAACTGTCCTGAAAAAGCGAAGCACTTATATATTCTTCTATTGAGGTTTAAACGAGTAAAGAAACGGGACAAAAGGGAATAGTATCACCTTTCGATCATACCTTATCAAAGCATGCATTTGCATAATACGGTCTGACGGGTGATTCCGTTGAACAGCTGAATGTATTACTAATAAGATGAGGGGACCGGGAAAATTGTGATCTAATTCATCAATTCACGTAACAAGTTTTGTTTGAATGGTTTAATAACAAACGGGAAGAGATAATGCAAGAAAGCGACGCGGGACAGAGAAAAAATGGAGGAAACAAGGACGAGTGTACGGACGGACGAGAGACGTATAGATATCAGGTGATAAATTCGTGCGCCGATGTCTGTCTGTATGTGGGGGTGCACAGAGAATGAAACAAATGAAACTGTCACACAAACCACACAAATCCATTCAGAACTGTTCATGTCACAGTAAAATACGTCACTTCTTCGTTCCCTTCCACAACCGTGTTGCCGGCGAAGAACACAACCGGACATAAAATTAATGTGTCCGGAAGGGCAAAATTTACCGTCAATTTTGTCAGAATGGAAAGACTGAGTGCGGTGGGATGATGGGAAAATGGAGAAATTGGTGGATTTGAATGGCTTCGGTGGAGAACCAGAGAGAAAAGAGAAAAAAAACGCGCAGGTGTTTGCGCGTGTGTATGCAAGCACCGAATTCGGGCACATTATCNTTATCACAGGTTGCAGGAATCGAAAACAAAACTCCATATGAGAGGAAGAGCAAAAAGGAACGGAGAATGGACTGTGTGGACACACGTGTATTCAGCAAGGAATTAGGGACGGAACATGAGATGTTCACATGTGTGGTAGTATGTGGGAGCCAAGTGATTCAGGAGCGTAAACTCTTCCGCGATCAGACTACGTGTTGCTGCGTTTCAGATCCCGTGGGTAGTGCCACGTTGACAGAGCTCTCTGTGGACCNCCAAGACGGAGTGCGTCGCTGTGACCGGATCAACCGGGTCGGAGTCACGTGGTCCGGACGGTGGTAAATCGGACTCGGATAAATCCGGCCAATCGGTGGAGTCATCCCGGTTTGTTGTTGATTTATCGCCCGTGTTGCTCTGCAAACGCTCGTTCAAAATGCGCAGAGCAAGACGACTGACAGGACAGGGAGAGAGATCAAGTGAATTCACAGAGCACTCAACTGTGTATTACAGTAGACATTATTCCATTTTCGTGAACAGTAGTTAATCACAAAATACCCTAAAATAAAGGTAAGAAATGAGGGTGACACCATCTGCTCACGTGCATTTGTTCAATATCATTCTGCTTTAGTTCATGCGAATCTGAAGAAATCATGGTCTGCGAACGGATTTTACTATATGGGTCTCTAGCCTTGTTAGTTTGTTGATTGCCAAGTATTCCTCATCTGATTTGTGAGTTAAACTAAGACCATGTTTAACTAATTGATGCAGTCATACATACGACCGAGGAGATTACCATTGGTCAAGTAGCAAAGAGGTAAGGGGTTCGACTTTTAACCCGAAGGTTCAGGGTTCTATTGCCGACAGAGGAACAAACATAAGTTGCTCATGAGTTTACAGAGCGATGAAACAACTGTCTAGTGGCTATGGCCGTCGCTCGCTTGAGAGGGCCAGTTACCGCTGGATGAGATTAATTCAGGACTGTCGCTCAATCGTCAGCACCTGTGGATATAGACGACGCTTTGTTAAGAGCTAAATTCTCCCCAAGTCTGGCAAACAACCGCAATAAAGCTAACGACAAAGGATACCCATAATATTATGCCAGGGACGGTTGCGAACTGGCCTCCAAAGAGAACCTTTGGGATCGCCTACCAGCCACCACCAGCACAAGGACTCTATGAACATTGGGAGCAAATCCAAAAAGCTATGCAAATGTCGATATAAACAACGACGGACTCTGTCGCAGGCTCAAAGCGTAAACGATGGATCCTGTCGACTTTGGCTGCACTGCCAGACACACACAGAACCCTTCCTTCTGATGCTACATAATATCACAGCGCGCAAATCCCTCAAAAGCCAGCTGATCATGAGTTTGACGGATGACCGCGAGAACTGATGGGTAGGAAAGTGTAGAGTGATAGCGAAAGCTGTGGCTATTCGAAACAGACCAATCCCAGTGCGAGGATAGTCGGATCGATTTACTCCCAGATGGCAGACTGCTTGATCTAAAGTATGCAGACGATGTTGTGCGCTAAGTGAAGGTTCAGGTAAGCTGCAAGCTTCTCTGGGTGGTTTGGGTGCCAGCCTAGCTACATTCGGTATGCGTTTTGCAACTTCAAAGTGCAAAATGTTGTTGTTACAAGATTGGGTTGGCCCAGTACCCAGCCTCATAGTAACAGGGGAATTAGTAGAGAAGGTAGATAAATTTTGTTACCTGAGCAGCTGTATCTCACCGAGTGGAAGCATCACGGATGAACAGTCGGCGTGTACACAGAAAGCTCAATTGGAATTTCCTAACTTAAGACATCTGTGGTGCCGTCGCGACATCTGGCTGTCTGTGAAGGGTCGAGTGTGTCCTGTGGCAGTTCGGTCAGTTCTGCTATACGGCGCAGAAACCTGACAATTAAGAAAATGGGATAAAGATAGACCTACAGTATTCGAACAACGTTGTCTACACCGCATTGCACAAATCTGGTGCGGCAAACAGATGAGCAACACTGAGGTTAGATTTGGAGTTTGGGTAACTGTGGTCACCCATTGGAGCGAGCGGTCGAAGTTGGTTGGGGTGTGTTACGCGTGTCACCAAAAAGGTTGCCCCGGCGTGCGTTGTTTACTGAGGCAGGTAGTGGGTAGAAAAAACCAAGGGTGGTCACAATTAGACCTGGTACAAGGGTATGAAAACCCTAACAACGAGACTCGGTCACAAGGCGGTGATGGCCCGGTAGTAACGTCACTAAATTATCACCTCAGGGGACGTGTGTTCGAATCCCACCACTACCACCACCACCACCTGACTCCCCGTAGTGTTGTATGGCAGCCCTTTGATTGGCTGCTTCCTCCTTCCTGAAAATTGTATCACTGTGTATTCAATAAAAGGAAGTAAAACGTAAAAGATAAAAGGTTACGTTGGGCTACCTGGATGGGGACATCGGGATCGTTGTAATCAATGGTTAGAAATACTAAATGATATGGCTGAGTGTCGTAAACAGTGAGGTTCGCGCATATTCTCAATTTCTTTGCAACCTTGGACCACTGAAATTTTCTATTTTCCCGTCGACTCTACTTTTACCTTTCTTGTCTTTCGCTTCCTGCTTCATACAAATAGGCAGCCTAAAGACAACAACCGAAACCACCGCACGAAAGTGCATGGTTAGTGGTTGTGCAAACTGAAACTGAATATAAGTCGTCTAGTAAACGAAAATAGGCTACCCAGCGACAAATCACAATCTAGGGATTTACTGACCGATAATCCATTTTTTATCTGGATGGTCCGATAAATACAGGCGATAATAAAAAGTAAATAAAAAAAGGCTTATTGCCACAATGCGAACGAAGCCCGGTAGATGAAAGAAGCTGTTTTGTGATACAATCATCGATCGGCTATTGCATTTGTATGGGAGCGATCTGTGTTGTTCGAACTGGCTTTGAGCGACTCAGATTACGTTCAGAAAGCATGCTATATTTGCTTGCACAATCCCCTTTTCGGTTAGGTCATTGATGCACATCCCGGAGGTGCATTAGTTATAACCGAATCCTAGTCCCGAATATTCTACTGCACCGAAACCTAGATGGAACTATCTAGAGAACAATCTACAGAAAACCGACAAGGTCGGCGCAATATGCATGGACTTCAATAGCTTCGTGCCGATGAAACAAATAAATAAAATGTCACAAATCAATTGGAGTTCTGAAAGAACAGAACAGAATGGAAAACTCATCCAACTGACCGATGACGTTCCATGTCGGATGTGAGACCTGGAATGTTTACTGCAAACGAAGCAGTCGAAACGATCTCACTCTGACGTTCAACACCTGGACATAGACGGGAGCGTAGCACCAGAGTGTAGATTACGTTGCACGGCAGCGCAACCCATGGCTCCAGTGGTTCCGGAAAAAATCTAAGAGGAAAAGATAAGGAATTATAATAAAGGGGAAATAAAATGTTAGATGTGGAGCGACTGAATATCCTATCCCATTGGGACCGTATGCAGTTCGAAACACCAAGTCACAGAGCTTAGGTTACCGGTAATCATGAGTAGATGGTAGGATCGCAGGGAAACGGGATTCACACTTGCAATTTATCCTATAGGGGTATGTAATAAAAAAACGATTGGACGATACTCAGATACCAAAATAATTACAACGATACTTCAGGCGGTAAAACCCCAAACACCCAATAAGCTCAATCACTAAACTAATCACATCTTAGACGTTCAATTTTCAGCGGATTCGTTGGATACTGTGAAAGCAACAAGTTTCAGTGGAATGGTACCAGCCAATGTATCACTCACAGCCGAAAGATTACGTAGAGCTATTTCATTTAAATGCGAAGACTCAGGCAATTCAATGATATAAAGATACAATTGGTGCTAATCAATGTATTTCCCTTCTTCATTTTTTTCCGGCTCTCTTAAGAAAAATTTCAAAATCCTTTAACGAGGATTATCGATGATCAATCATGTATCTTTTATACTTCTTGGTGAACTACGTAAAAAAGCTGTGTGAACTATAACAGTCCGCATGTGAAAAATCGGAACAGAAAATCCCATCTGATCCAACTCCCCTCTACATGGTAGTTTATTCAAGCGCCACCCGCACACTTCAACATGTTCTGCTCGTCCCTTCTTAACCAACTAACAGCCCATACAAGAACTTCACTCCTCCTTACCTCGTTCGAATCTGCACCCATTCGGCGCAAGTTCCCGTCGAATTCCTCAACAACTTTCCATGGTTATATATTTCTTTTTTAGTACACCTTTTTGGGTGAACCCCATAGTCGCGTAGACCTGTTATTCGGTGATATAAACCGGCAACCCAAGCCCCCGGGACTTGGAGTGGCAAATGGCATAAGGCCCCATTAGGATAGATGTGGTCTTGAACCGAATGATAGCAAGGGTGCCTACCACCAACGCTGGGTAGATGTGGCAAGGTTTGAACCTAGGACAGCGACTAAACCACTGCGCCACCTGCACCCTAATAACTTAGTTTGCCAACATTCAGGTTGAACATGCGGGTGAACCTATTTACGACACATGGGCGGTGTTCAAGCCGTTCCGGTCGTTGTCATCAGCGTTCATTTTGGCCCCTGGTCCGATGTTCGAACTATACCACTGCCACCAATCTTTGGCGGCAGGCAGCTTTGTGGCCTTCTTATGCCTATCCTAGTGGGACTTTATGTGATTCACCAGTCCAAGTCCTGGGACCAAGGTTGGCTGTTTTTCATGTGTGAACATCAGATACTGGTGGCTATGGGGCTTACCCCGTTTACTGAACATCACACAGAAAGATGCGTATAGTAAAAAAGAAATACACAAATTTCGAAATCATAACCGTGCGTATCAATAAGTTCATCGTGGTGGTATACGGAATTGGATTACGAGATAAATTTATCGCATTTTGACTTATATAAGAACTTACTTGGCCAGGGCAAATGATGCACGATGGTCCCCGTACTTTCTCTGTGGATGATGCTGCAGAAACCGTAGATAGAACCAACTCACAAAGAAACCGTTAATAAACATCAAGAATGAAGTCCATCTAGTCAGCCCAATCAGAGAGAATAAGAAGAAAATGACTAGACCGCAACAGAACCCGTAGCGTGATCTCAAGCCAATTTTGCCATAGCCCAGCAGATATCGATCCGGATCAAACTGGGCAGAAATGACAGTCACGGAAGCAATTAATGCCGTGTTGCCCACAATTATGACACCCGGTTGCTCACCGAATAACTTCAGTGAGAAGGTGGTCAAAACAATCGAGCCCAAATTGACGACCAGGACAAATATGAAAGTCTCCCATTTACTCCAACAATCCCAAATCAGCTTGTCCATAATAAGTATGGCCAAAATGGTGAGCCAGTGTGTAACATGTTCGTCGGTCACCAGAGAGAAAGTGAGCGGAGTCAGTCGTTTGCAAGAGTAGATGACATCAAATGGTTGATAGGCGAATACAGGAAGCCATTGGGAATGAACAAGGCTCACCAGATAACTGAAAGTCAGGAAGAAAATGGATGCGACTGCCCAACGAGATAGCCGAAACGACCAATTTAGCTTCATTGGCTTAGTGATACTTTAACTTGTCGAAAGAATTCTGAAAATCGCAGAAAGGAAATGTATGAACGATTTGTCAAGAATATTGTTTTCCAATTCTGCAGTAGGCTAAAACGAGTTAGCCTAATTGGATAATGCAGTAATACATGGTAAGCGTCAAAAGTTGATCAATGAATGGTTTATAAAGTCTAAACTGTCTGGTCAAACAATAATGTGCTTTTGTTCAGTGCGATGGATTGTGGCTTTGTGAACCAGAGAGTAAGACTGTATAGATAGGCCTAGAATAGTAACGGAGGATTCGGAGGAAAAGTTATCTCAACAAACCAGCCGCTAAGACAACAGGAGAGAAAGAGATTGACGCAGCATTCTCATTAACAGATGTAGTCCCTATTGTCCCTATTGTTACGAAATAGTGAATCAGACTCTGGTATCAGTTATCAGTTTCAGTTTTCACAAACATTAATGTTAATGTTCGTCAAATAGCCTCTACTGAGGAAACCCTACACACTGCCTTCTCGTGGCGGTGTTATTTCATCAAAAAAGAGAGGGGGAACGAAAAGTCAGTATTCGAAGCGATGACCGGGTCAGTGGATTACTGGCAGTTCACCTAAGGAAATTGGTTAAAAACCCCGATTCCTAACCAACCAAGAGGAGGCGTTGGAACCACACACACACACACCTTCCTGGTCGTGGTAGTGGTCACCGGTTCGATTGGGCATCGAGTCAGCGTCACAGTCGGTAAAATGGTATAGGAGTATTCGCTCCAAGTAAATGGGCCTCTAACTCGCTTTGCCCGCCGCCTTGCGATCAGGTTCTTGTTAAAACTAAAGGCTTTGGAAGAGAACCCTAATCTTTCTCCTGCTTAGTGGCTAGACACCCTGGCAGTACCCGTCCATCAAACTCAAATGCACGCACAAACAAAAAATAATTCCATACTGCATCGGTCGTCGACCGGGATAATTAGTACCGCGCTGCCTATTGCCTCGAACGGGGTGGGTAGTGATAAGTGGGCTACTGCTCAGATTTCCCAACCTTTGTTTGACTGTTCATCCTCCTTATCCAACCCGCCCCCTTTACTCCTTCTTCCAACCTATAACATTACCTCAGACAACTTGTTCGTCACTTTACAAAGTTTGTGGCCAAGTTGTCTGATAAGTGGTTTACAACAAAATAGATTGCAGATTCTGAAGCCTCGTCAAACACTGAACCTGGGGGACTTCAACATGAGGATTCTGATGCAGGTAGGTTAACAAGCGTGTCTGGCGCGTACAATGGAATCTTTGGGGATTGATGTCTGCTACGTATCGGAGACTCGAATCCTAGTACTATATGCCACTTAAATGCACCGGGGTTCAAATTTTCAAATTTTTATTATGGGATATAACTTACAAAGACTTCGCTTTTACAAATCCCATAGGGTGTTTATACTTTGGTTCGGATGACGATTCACAATATCACAGTTAGTCCATGAAAGTAAAGTAGTAAAGTAATGTTTTGACGAGTATAGAAGAATATGTTATGTAGTAGGGTGTTGAAAAGTAACGTTTACCAGAGCATCATCAAGCTGACGCTTAAAAGATACTCTTGTCGGGGCACAGACTACGTGAGCTGGTAGAGAG